GTACTAACCTGTGAAGATGACGCCTTGATGCAGGTACCTCGAAGATGGAGCTGGAGCTATGGCGCCACAGGTAAGTACCGCTGGCCTCCGCCAGCCATCTCTCCCAAACACTACTACTACCAGCTACTAGCGCCCTGCGTTGAAGACTACTCCTGCAGCTATTAGCGCCCAGCGCTGAAGACTACTGCTAGCTCTAACCACTACTGCAGTGCAGCGCTCCTCCTGATGCTGCGGCCGAATCCTGAAGACTACTCCTGTCTACTGTCCGACTACCTACCCGTGAAGTGCATGGGAACTCCCTATGTGCTTCTCGGCCGGCCTCCTGACTGCAGGGCGAGGCAGTCCAGGAGGCTGCTCTTGCCAATGCCACAGGGAGTCAGGGGCTGCCACTGCAGCTCCTGCTTGAGGCTGTCATGGGAACAGGCTAAAGATAGCCTGTTCCCGAAACCCTGGTTTTGTGCCTGAGTATTAGGGTAGGTCGATCTTATGAGGGCCCGAAAGTGGCCCTCCGTTTCAGGCTGAAAAGCCTCAAGGCTGAAAAGCCCTGTTATAGGCTGAAAACGAAATAGGGCCTGCAGGCCCTCGTTTTCAGTTTTCAGGCTGAAACGACAGGGGCCTGTAAGCCCTTATTTCTAGGCTTTCAGGCTGAGAATGCGGGACGGGCCCAGCAGGCCCGTGTGGCTACGCAGTATGCCACAGCCTGCCTCCTCATTCGGCATTCGGGTGCTGGCTTCATGCTGCGCTATTTGCTGGCTGGCTGGCACTCACGCTCTCATGGGCGAGCAGGGAAGGAGCGGGCAGTCGTAGCTGAGCTGCTCCGCTGTATGCTGGGTGCAGTGCAGGGTGGTCCTTGGGTGATAGTGGCATCTGTGTGAGGTGGAACGAGGTTGTGAGTGTAGCGTGCTAGTGGCATCTGTGTGTGGTGGAACGGGGTTGTGAGTGTAGCGTGCTAGTGGCATCTGTGTGTGGTGGAACGAGGTTGTGAGTGTAGCTCGAGACATACCTGGTGCTGGAAGCTTGCGACATTGGTCGCCATGTGTTCGTACTTCGGGAATGTTGTTGATGTCATCTTTCGGCTTCGTAGTATAGGCTAGATAGGATCTGCCACATGTAGTCTGGGCGCCGAGCACCAGATAGGATATCAACTCTGGTTCTTCGTTGATGATGATGGGACTACTTCGGCATTGTCAATTATGAACTCTCGGTGTGTTCTTATCTGGTGAATCTCGTGATGCAATTCTGTTGTTGGTTCGAGATCAAGACTATCTGGACTCATATGTATGATGCTGTTTGATTGTTGGAGTTCGCTATTGCTCATCTTCCTTGCAATTTGGTATCGGAGTTGTGGTACGATTGCGCTCATCTGGCGCTTATACGGTACATACATGCGGTCTGCTGGGCGAGTTTGGCCGTAAGTGGTGTGTAGTGAGGAGGGTGGAGGCGAGTGTTGTTGGAGACCCAGGAGGTGAGGGGATTGCCACAAAGGCTACGTGAGGTGAAATGTGGTCTGGACACTGTGATGAGAACTATCTAATGTGCGATTGATGCCGAGGTGGAACGGCGACATAATGCTGGCTGTGCCGATGCAGTGACTGGTCATCGCAATAGCCATTTGGTCATCTGGTGAGATTATCTCTGTGGGTGGGGGCAGCTATTTGAGGTACGTTGCTCTTAACCTTATCTACCCTCTTCGACACTTCTTACCGTGAGGTTGTGTGTTCCTTCTTGAGAGTCCTCTCACCGTGAGGTGTCGAGTGCGCTCAACCTTGAGAGTTGGCAATGTTCACGTGGAGCGTCTGGGTGGAGATGGGCGAAGCTTTTTGAAGGGCCCTGGACGAAGCACTGGGTCACGGTCACCATGCCAACCCACAGGGAGTAGAGCACGCATGCCTAGCTGCTTGTTCCTTTGTTCGGCTTGCTGCGCTGTTAGATGGGTACTACTGGGCAGGCCAGCCCTACAAGAAAGACGAGCACCCGACGTCTATAAATAAACACGGGAAGGGGAACCATTGGCTGTGATCGTCATCCAGCTGCGACGTAAAATAATTCCTGGAGTCACTTGGGGGCGGACGTTAAATTGCCCCTGGATCAGCCAATGGTTGGAAGGCTCGCGGCACGCTGAGGATAAATATACGTGCAAGGCTGGCCAGCACAGTGGATACTCGGGGCACAGGGGAACAAAGGGAGGGGTTGATTCCAGGTGATAAGTTCGAGAAAATGCCATGCTGTCCTATCCACACAAGTGATTCTATTTTTATGTTTTGATTAGTTAGATGGACTGCCATTGACATCTGACAGACAACATTAGTTAGAACTGTTTATTGTTCCTGGTGCTTCTATTTGTGGACTAGTCAGACTAAAAATAGTTTCGGTTGTAGGAATCTGACTTACCTGTTGACCTCAAGTGATATCTGTTTCAAAATAGCCACCAACTAATTAGTTGGTCTGTGCACTATGATGCGGTAGGCATCTTAAGTGACCTAGTGTAGACGGTGCACAGCGCGGTAGCCTATGAGCGACGAGGAGGACACTGGTGAGGACGACAGAAGGATCTTGCGATCAGCTAAAGGCCCGAGAGCCCACGTGTCCCTAAGACCGGAGGGTGATAGGATTTTGTTCCGCCGGTTTAGGGAGAGGCAGCAGCAGCAGAGGAGGGCTAGAGCAGCCGAGGCCAGCAGGACTTTAGTTAGCGAGGCCGGTGCTACAGCAGTCATGGCTACATCCGCCATGTCCACTTCTCCGCAGCAGACTCCCCAGGATTCGTTGGTTCAACGGTCGCGCAGACCGTGAGTCAGTCCATTGGCATTATGGCAAGCCAGGCAGCCGTGTTGTCCCCAGAGGATGTCGCCATCCAGCAGGCAGCTCTGCAGGAGGCACAGCTACAGCGGGCATTAGGAGAGAGAAAAGTGGAAAAGGAAAAGATGATCAGAAGAAGAGCCAGGATGCAGCGTAGAGGGACAGACATAGAGGAGTTAGAGACGATGGACGTGACGAACATGGATGATGATGTGAGGGTAGTTAGGAAGGCCCTGCTAGGCATAATAGGGATGCAGGAGCATCGAACTACCATCCTTCAGGACATTCCACAGAGCCTAGCCGTTTTGGCAGGCCGTGCGCAGGCAGCACCATCACCAGCCGGGCCAGGTGCCTGGCCCGTGCCATATCCTCCTTTTTCTGTCCCACCGGTGACAGGGGTATCCCCATATGTAGCCCCGTCATCGGTTGCTATCGTTTCCCTGGGCATGCCGCTGTCAGGAGGGGTAACAACAGGGAGTAGTTTGCAGGTTCCTATACAGACAGTGTTCACTCAAAGTCCGTTGCAGCCTGCTGTCTCGCCGCCGGTGCAGCCTCAGGGCACGCAGCCCCAGCAGCTAGCACAACAACCTGTGTCACCGGGTCCACAGCCCGGAGTGATGCAGGGACCGGGACAAACTCAGTGGGTTCCAAAGACGGCCATCGCCGCTCCCAATCCTTTTACAGGGGATAAGAGGGGCGAAGACCTTGACACTTGGTTGAGGGTAGTGCCGGTCTATGTCAGGTGTAAACTCACCTTGTCGCACGAAGAAGTGCTTGTGGCTGCTTCCTACCTAGAGGGTAGTGCAGCAAGATGGTTGAGTGGTTTAGTGTAGCTTCAGGGATGTGGTCATGACTTCCGCGCTTGGGCAGCCTCCGAGAAATTGGAGGACTTCCTGAAGATGGTGGAGGAAAGGTGGCACGATCCTTAGGAGG